ACCTGGCCTAGGGAGGATTTTATACTGGGTTCATTTTAAGGAATTCGAAATAACACAACTTTAAAATTTGGTTTAATTCGGTTTTACAGGGGGGGATTGTATATATGCCTTTGTTTTAAATATGTTGTGAGCCGCCCTGAGTCCCGTCGGGAGAAGGGCGGGATATAAATTAAATTAAATAAATAAATAAATAAATAAAATAAAAACTTCCAGTGTTGGAGCATTCACCACTTCTGGAGGCAGGTTGTTCCACTGGTTAATTGTTCTAACTGTCTCCTTAGTTTTAGGTTGCTTCTCTCCTTGATTAGTTTCCATCCATTGCTTCTTGTCCTGCCTTCAGTTGCTTTGGGAAATAGCTTGACTCCCTCTTCTTTGTGGCAGCCCCTGAGATATTGGAACACTGCTATCATGTCCCCCCTCATCCTTCTCTTCATTAAACTAGACATACCCAATTCCAGCAGCCGTTCCTTATATGCTTTAGCCTCCAGTCCCCTAATCATCTTTGTTGCTCTTCTCTGTACTCTTTCTAGAGTCTCAACATCTTTTTTATATTGTGGTGACCAAAACTGGATGCGGTATTCCAAGTGTGGCCTTACCAAGGCACTGTAAAGTGGTATTAATACTTCACGTGATCTTGATTCTATCCCTCTGTTAATGCAGCCTAGCACTGTGTTGGCCTTTTTGGCAGCTGCAGCACACTGCTGGCTCATATTTAAGTGATTGTCCACTAGGACTCTGAGGTCCCTCTCACAGTTACTACTATTGAGCAAGTTACCCCCTATACTATACCTGTACATTTGGTTTTTCTTGCCTAAATGTAAAACCTTATTTTTTTTCACCATTGAATTTCATTTCCTTAGATAGTTAGATAGGGTCATAGTTAGATAGGTTCATCTCTTTCTTCTATTCGGTTGGATGGCCTGTAGTATATGGCAATGCTATCCTTTTTTTTCTTTTATATTGAACCATATGCATTCTAGGAGGCTTTCATCCTTAGTTTATCCATTTCTGTAGAGATGTAGTGTTCTCTTACATATAATGCAATTTCACCTCCTGTTTTGTTAGGTCTGTTTCTTTTGAACAGTTTATATCCTTCCATCAGCACATTCCAGTCATGAATTTTATCCACCAAGTTATCCCACCAGTTTGGGGGCAATCTTGGTTTGTTCTCCATATAGATACTCATAAGCTGTTTTCTAATTATTCCAACACTTTAATGCCCTAAAACAATAGAAACAGCAATACAGAAAGAAAACATTAATTGCCATCTGCCAAAGAACTCTTTGATTGAAAAGACATTTTGACTTTAAAACACAACGGATCAGATGAGCCGTGATTTCATTTTACCAAGCATATACGCAAGATTGCACACTCAGGACCAATGTTGAATATGAATTACAGCACAATAGTTATACTTTCATTGTTGAAAAAAAATCTGGCAAAGGCATATAATACTTCAATTAATCATAAAATAGTCAAGAAGGGAGCAGATTTGACATGCTAGCAAGAATAAGTGAGGATGGGCACAATGTAGATATGTGGATATATGAGTAGATCACCCAACATTTCAACATATTAGCAAGTATTTAAGTTCCTATTCTAACAGCAACCTTATAACACCTGAGAAAAAGTTAGTATGATCCATGTTATTTTTTGAAAAAACTGTGAACTCTGTTCAATACTTATTCACATTGCTTGACACAGAACTCTTCTGTCTTTTCAATTATATTGAGTCTCAATTTTTTTTTATAAAAGAAGACCCTGAAAGCTAAATGTTTCATTATTTCTGGTATATTCAACCAACAAGACTTCATTGTATTCAATTTCAATCCTGGTAGAAGTGTTCTGAAGACATCTTGCTGTTGAACTGTCCATTCATCTCCCGAGTTCACCAGGAGCATCAATGGAGACTGTTGTGATTGTAGCCATTGGGGTATTGGCAACCATCTTCCTGGCTTCTTTTGTGGCTCTGGTTGTGGTATGTAGGCATCGTTACTGCCGACCCAAGGACTTCTTGAGTCATTATGATACCAGGTGAGGTGATTTTTCAATTATGGATTCTAGTAATTCATTCACTCACCTGGAATGTTTTGGAACAGCAATTTTCAGAATTTGAAACCAGGATTGCCAAAATTAAGGAGTCTAGGCACTGCAGGCACATCTGAAGGATTCCAAAATGGGAATGTCTAATCTATGACTTTTGTTAATAATAATAAATGACAGTCAATTAAGGATTCTATGACTAAATTTTGATCTCAAAACATACTGATTTTAATGGTCAAAAGTAAGCTTAATTGGGGTGTTTTGACACACACACCCAAAAATGCCTTAGATTTCTTTTGTACTTCCTCCTAGGCCTATTGTTGATTTAATTGGCACCATGGAGACACAATCTGAACCCTCTGAACTGGAGATGGATGATGTGGTAATAACAAACCCACATATTGAAGCAATCCTGGCAAATGAGGACTGGATTGATGATGCTTCGTAAGTTGGGCAGCAATGCCTTTCAGGCTGCATAATCTGGAAAGGATTGTTTTTCTTCTGCTGGGTCAAAATGGGACCAAAGAATAAAGCCCAAAAATCTCTTCAAATTCTTCTCTTTAAATGCTTAGTACAGAAGTACTACATTGAAAAAGGATAGTCAAGTATTTGACAAATATAGCTGAACCAAACCCATAATTTTTCACCCATTTTTTTATGTTGGTGGGGAGAAGAAATTGAATAGGATAAATAGTTAGCTTTTGAAAATATCCTTGTTATCCAATAATATTCATTTTTAGCTGAATGATACTTTCCTTTCACTATGACCACTATTAAACTTAAACACCCATTTTTCCTCTGTATTAGAACTAGACCCTTGTTGGCAGACCCTGTTTTTTAATCTCATCTGCCACATGAGTTGTTTCTTGCTTCCGTTCAAAAGCCTTTAGTGCAGTGATGGCGAACCTTTTAGAGACAGAGCGCCCAAACTGCAACCCAGAACCCACTTATGTATCATCGGGTGCCGGGTGGGCATGGCCCATTGGGTGGGCATGGCTGCAGTGGTAACGGCAGACTGGGTGGGACTAAAAAGTTCAATCAATCAATTTCAACTTTGCGAGATCTTTTTTTTCCCAGTGAGAAGTTGAAATTGGTTGATTGATTGAACTTTTTTTTTTTTGCACACGGCGGCAGAGACCTAACGCGAAAAGGTTTTATAAAACCTAGCTAAAGGCCTAGGACTGGGGCGACGGTGCATGTGCCCACAGAGAGTGCTCTGTGTGCCACCTGTGGCACACGTGCCATAGGTTCGCCACCACGGCTCTAGTGGTTACTATCTCCGTCCTACCATGCTAACATTTTGCATGGTTTTATCTCATCTGATACCCTTTCTTCCTTGTCTGACAGTTGCAGACCCTGTCTTTCCAATGCATCTTATCTTTGCAATACTAATTTAAATGGAATAACAAAGAATGTATTGGGGAAAAGGCTAGAACAAATCTAATTCTAACTTATTAGTCATTTGTACAAGTTATTGGTATGAATTTAATTACTGTTAAAAAAAATCAGGTATTGTCTTTCAGCCTTACATGTGTGGATTTTACACATGTGTAATAGCAATAGTAATAGCACTTAGACTTATCTACTGCTTCACAGTGCTCTACAGCCCTCTCTAAGTGATTTTACAGAGTCAGCATATTGTTCCCAACAATCTGGGTCTTCATTTTACCAACCTCTGAAGGATGGAAGGCTTAGTCAACCTTGAGCTGGTGAAAATCGAACTGCCGAACTGCTGGCAATTGCCAGTTAAGTCAGCAGAATTAGCCTGCAATACAGCATTCTAACCACTGTGTCACCACTAATCAATGCATTCTTATAGGAGAAGAAATCAATGCATTCTTATAGGAGAAGAAATCAATGCTTCATGCCATTTCTTTTCACCCTTCAAATCACTGGCTGCAGAATGTGCATTGATGTTCTAGTTAATCAATTCTTGAAGAGAAATTTGTCAACAACTTGGGTGACAAAAGCCAAATTCATCAAGTGAGCTGAGAACAAAATGTCCTACAGAACGCTCAGAAATAGAAGATCTTGTGTCTGAGCAGGGAAACTGAAGACCAGAAAACTGAATCATGAAAAAGTCCAAATGCAGAAGACTTTTTCTAATTTGCTATTTTTTTTCCTTAGGGGCCTGGTCTCTCACTGCATTGCTATCCTAAAGGTACATTTCTTATGTTTTTCAAAAATCATAATAGGAAGCTACCCTGCACCACAGAAGGTGCACAGTCTATAGGAAGTGCATATGTAAATCAAGTACATTAAGTAACAGTCAAACTCCCACCCCACGCAACACTAATTTATCTTATTTTTTGAACAGATCTGCCACACTCTCACTGAGAAGCTTGTTGCCATGACAATGGGGTCTGGAGCCCAAATGAAGTACCCATCAAGCCTGAGTGACATTATTGTGGTGGCCAAACAAATCAGCCCAAGGTGAAAGTTGTCAAGAACTTATGGGCAGCAGGACTCTGGATGAATCTGGGGAGAAAAAGACCACTTTAGCCTGAACAAAAGATGGGATATAAACCAAATGAATAAATAGAGGGAAGGATATACAGAACACAATCCTGCGATTATTGTTTAAGCAATTTACTTCTTTATGAAAAGGACTGTTTCAGCTGGTCATACTTTAGATGGGGATTCTTCCATGATTGGGGTAGTTGTCCTTGTTGCTCTTTGCCCTCTTTCTTTTTAATGCCCTGGATTTGCAGGATAGAATAGGAAGGTTCTACAGAAGGGGATATGTAAACTGGGCTGCAATACTGCTCAGGATGCTAAATGCATCTGGATATATCACAGGAGCATAAGAAGAAGGAAATGCAGTGGGGTACCTTAAGAGTCTGTCTTGGGTACAATCCTTTCAAACATCATAAATGATCTAGATGACGGCATTAAAAGGGTGGATGACAAAAAGCTGTGGGGGGAGGAGATGTTAACATTTTGGAACACAGACTCAAGATTCAGAAGGATTTTACAGACCTTGAGCATTGGTCCTTATCCAACAAGATGCAGTTCATTGGTGAGAAAAGTTAGGCATGAAAAACCAAATGCACACAGAATAGAATAGGAGGTACCTAGTTCAACAGTAGTGCTTGTGAAAAGGATCTAGGTGTCCTGATGGACCACTGTAAGTATGAGCCAGGAATGTGCTGTAGCTTCTAAAAAGGCCAATGCAGTCCTAGACTGCATCAACAGAGGGAAGCATCAAGATCACGAGAAGTGATAATACTCTATACTGCACTAGTGAGGCCACACTTGGAATACTGTGTCTAATTCTGCTCATCACAATACAAAAACAATGCTGAGACCCCAGAAGGAGTATAGAGAAGAGTAACAAAAATGATAAGGGGTCTGGAGCCTAAATCACACAATGAACAGCTAAGGAAACTAAGTATGTTTAGCCTAACAAAAAGAAGTTTAAGGATGTCATAGTAGCCATCTTCCAATACTTGAAGGGCTATCACAAGGAAGAGGGAGTCAGTTTATTCTCCACAGCACCTGAGGGCAGGGCACTTTATTTTCCATAGTACCTCAGGTAGAACCAATGGGTGGAAGCTTGTCAGAAGGTGATTCAACCCGGACCTAAGGAAGAATTTTCTGACAGAAAATTAAGCAATGGAACAGTTTGTCTCTCTGAGTGACCCACTCTGTGTGTGAAGGTTGCTGAAGGTTTTCATAAAGATTGGGCAATCATTTTTCTTGGTTAAAGATCCTGCCTTAGGTAGGGGGTTGGACTAGAAGACCTCCAAGTCCTTGTTTCTATGAGTCTAAGATGCAGCACTAATGTGAGACATTTATCTTTCTATCTCTCTATGTCAAGTGCAAGCAACCAGATCCACATATGAAGGGTTCAGGTTGACTACTTTATTGTGTTCTACAAGAACTGTAGAAGTTCTGTACAAGAATCTTCCCAGACTGCCTGCCTTTCCTTGGGAATTAACATATATGAGGAACTTAAGGGGAGGGGACTAGGTCTAAGTATCTTGCAGCTGCTCAAGGTTAATTCCCTACTTAATCCCTCCCCCTTGCCTGGTTGGGAACTTCACGACACCTTAATTTCATCACCTTAACCTGAGACATAACGTCTACCCTCTATATGAAAGTAGACAGAGGTAATACTGGTAATATATGTCCTCACTAACAGTAGGATAACAACCTCTGGTGCACTTTGTTGCACTAAGCTAATATAGGGAACAAAAGAAAGATATGCTGAGGAATACTTCAGACAATTCAAATAGGAGCAGCAGGGAACAAGCAGTGCTGATCCCCTGCCATCCCCCTTATACTGGAGAGAGGGAGGGAAGGATGAGTGGATGGATGGACAGAGAGATGCATAGCAGTTTTTATTTCAATTCCTTAATTTGTACATTGTTTAATTACAACTAGCCATTTTGTTTTCTTCATAGGGTAGATGATGTGGTGCGATCTATGTATCCACCACTGGACCCCAAACTGTTAGATGCCAGGTGAGTAGGCATTGCTTGGGAGGGAAGGTGATAAATGTCTGCCTTACTTTCTAACTATATAATCTAAAAAGCAGTATACTTCTTGGAAAAATATTATCTTGCTTTCACTCCCACATTTTAGGGTGTCTGTACATGTGGTCCTTCTGGAGTTCTTCATCAAGTCCCTTTTACAATGTATTTCAACATTTCTCATCACCTTTAGAAAGGCTTCCCATAGATCAGTACAATCTTTTTTTAAATATAATTTTATTTTAAGTATAAGTTTTTAAGTTTTATAAACAAGAGTAAAAATCAATACAAACTAAAATAAGGAAAAAAGAAAAAGAAGGAAATAAAAAAGAAAGCTAAGGTACAAAAATAAAAAAAGGCAGAAGAAAAATAGAAAAGGAAAAAAGATATAAAGCATTGGCTTCCAATCTTCTTTACAGCAATCATAAGTACAGTTGTAAATTTATCTCTTTCTCTAAAGTTAGCTTGTGACTCTCTTCTTTCTATAATCTATCCTGTCTAATCGTCAAAACCAAGTCATAAGTTCATTTTTTTCTGTTTTTTTCTGTTTTACACTAAAGGGTTTCTTTTATATTGTCTTTTCTCTAATCAAGCATGTCAATTTGGCTATCTCAGCAAGTTCTATCATCTTCACCAACCACTCTTTTATTGTAGGTATTGCCAAATTTATAGAAGTTTTCTTTAAGATTATAACACAGTGTAAATTTTAATTCCTTCAACCACACATTTTTCCATTGTTCCATTTGTATATTATAACTAAAATTTCAGCTCATTTTAACATACATTCTTTCACTTGTTCTTCTTCTGTTTCATATTCCAATAAAATTTATACATTTTAGCAATCACATTTTCATCCTTTGTACACAATTCTAGTTAAAACAGTCTTAAATCATTCAATACTATACATTATTTTGTCTACTTTGAATCTTTCTGATTAATAGTAAATAAGAAAACTATTGACAATCAAAAGTTGGAATTAAGATTGCCTGGAGAAATATCAACAACTTAAGATATGCAGATGATACCACTCTACTGGCAGAAAGTGAAGAGGAATTAAAGAGCCTCTTGATGCGGGTGAAGAAGGAGAGTGCAAAAGTTGGCTTGAAACTCAACATTAAGAAAACCAAGATCATGGCATCCGGCTTTCTCAATTCCTGGCAAATAGATGGGGAAGAAATGGAGGTAGTGACAGATTTTATCTTCCTGGGCTCCAAGATCACCACAGATGGGGACTGCAGCCAAGAAATTAAAAGACGCTTGCTCCTGGGGATGAAAGCTATGGCAAACCTAGACAGCATACAAAAAAGCAGAGACATCACCCTGCCAACAAAAGTACGCATAGTCAAGGCCATGGTTTTCCCAGTTACAATGTATGGCTGTGAAAGTTGGACCATAAGAAAGGTTGAGCGCAAAAGAATTGAGCCTTTGAGCTATGGTGCTGGAGAAGACTCCTGCAAGTCCCCTGGACTGCAAGGCGATCAAACTGGTCAGTTCTAGAGGAGATCAACCCTGACTGCTCTTTAGAAGGCCAGATCCTGAAGTTGAAACTTAAGTACTTTGGCCACCTAATGAGAAGGAAGGACTCAATGGAGAAGAGCCTAATGCTGGGAAAGATTGAGAGCAATAGAAGAAGGGGACGACAGAGAATGAGGTGGCTGGATGGAGTCACTGAAGCAGTAGGCATGAGCTTAAATGGACTCCAGAAGATAGTAGAGGACAGGAAGGCCTGGAGGAACATTGTCCATGTGGTCGTGATGGGTCAGACACAACTTCGCAACTAACAACAACAACAACATTGGCAATTATGTCCCTGTGTCATCAATTTTTCTCTTAATTTTATTTTGTATTTCCTTTGACAGAATTTTAGTATCTCACAGTATGTTAACTATTATTTAAATATATAAATACATAATAAGTATTTTACATATTATGCTGAGAGCCATGAAGGTGTTTTGGACACAACCTGGATTTGTATCTATTCATATTCTCAACATCTAACAGTGATTTTTAAAACCTACATTGAGCTTAACTTTATCATATGACAAATATTCACACCACTCAAATCTAGTTCATGTTCTTTTAACTCTAAATGTCTTCCATTTTTCATACACCCACTATTTCATCCAAACCAAACAATAAACTGCAAATTACAATATCAAATTACATAAACCTAATCCTTCTCTTTCCTTTGCATCTTGAAACAACTAAATAATGTCTTGGTTTTTTCCTTTGCCATACAAACTTATATGCATCTTTTTGCCATTGTTTAAATAGTACATCAATAACAAAAACATCATTCTAGGCAAAACATTTTTATCACAGAAATTGTCTCCAACAATGTAATTTCTCCTATCTTATCATTTTTAACTTCATTACATGTTTTAATATAATTATGCTGAAATAGCATAAAATTCATATTTGTCATGGTGCTAACCAAACATTTTACTTTTTCTCAGTATTAAAATTTATTTTCATCAGTTAAAATTGATCATCTATTTTCAAATTTTTGTTAACAACTTCATCTTTTGATTATTAATCTTTAACTTACTAGTGTACCAAATTCTTTTAATTTTCACATCAGTGGGCCTATTGCCTTTAGTAAATTTTCCAGAGTTAATATTGAGTCATCAGTAAATGCCCTTAACTTAAAAGTTTCTTTTTTAAAAAAATATTTTATTAGATTTTATAAGGGTGGGGAAGGGATAAGATCGGTAAGGGTGTTGGATGGGGTTGGGGAGTGAGGTTGGGATAAGGGTAGGGAAAGATACAATATTGGGGTTACCCCCAACAGTAATTCATCGATTTAGCAAGCAGACTGTCATCCGGGTACAAATGTTAAATAACAGTAATTAAAATAATACTAAAAAGTTATAATCACAAAAAATAATCGTAATCATAAAAATTAAAAGTTAGTCAATAAATGTCGTTTATCCTACTAGCTAAACAGTTACTATAATACTGAATAATTATAATCACTAATAATAACAATAGTCATAAAAATAAAGCTTAGTCAATAAATATCATTCATCATTTTTTTAATCATGAAAGGTGGTCAAAACGCAACCTAAGGGGATTTTTAATCAAATTTTTAGTCCGGGTTTTAGGGGGTTCCAGGGAGAGGGGTGGGCAAACTGAAATTGATTCTCCCAGGCCGGCTGAAGGCCTCGGCGAGGTGGGCGTAGGTCCTGGAATTGGGGAGGGGGAGAAGGTCTGCCTAATAGAGGGCAATTCCATTAAGACTGTGTATGGGAGGGGTAGATATGGCGGAAGCAGAGGGCCATATCACACTAGGGGAGGGCGCACCCACTGTTTACGAGCTGTGGCGCGCTCCGGCCCCCATGGCTCTTCTTGCAACCTAGGGGGTTTAGGATCTCAGGGCCTGGGCTTTCGGCTGATGCTGTGTAACGCCAGGTCCACGGTTAATAAAGCCCCCCTCATTTATGATTTGGTATCGGAGGGGGAGGTGGACCTGGCAGGTATTACGGAGACCTGGCTGGGCCAAGAGGGGGGGGTGCCCCTCGTTGAAATGTGCCCGCCAGGTTACCGTGCATTTCACCAGCCGAGAGCCCAGGGTCGGGGGTGGCGGTTATTATTAGGGAAGGCCTGGATCCAAGGGAGACCACTGTGCCGCAGACTGCCGGTTGTGAATCCCTAGGTGTGAAGTGGGGTCATGGGAGGCAGCAGGGCGTGCTGATTGTATACCTGGCTCCCCGCTATGTATCAGCAGCCCTACCCGAGCTACTCAGTGTGATAGCCGAGATGGCGATTGAGATCCCCAGACTGTTAGTCATGGGGGATTTCAATCTGCCATCGTTAGGTGAAGCATCTGAGGTGGCTCGGGAGTTCATGGCCTCCATGACGTCCATGGACCTGACCCAATTAGTTGATGTCCCTACCCACACCGGAGGACACACACTGGACTTAGTTTTTGCCTCCGGCCAGTGGCTGAGTCATCATGGTTTAGGGGAAATGGTCGTTGAGCCCCTGTCATGGTCAGATCACTCTCTCCTTCGGCTGGCCTTTCCTACCGCTACGCCCCACCGCGGGGAGGCGGAACCAGAAGTGACAAAATGGTTCCGCCCCAGGCGCCTGATGGACCCTGAGAGGTTCCAGACGGAGCTTGGGCCAATACCTGAGACCTTGACCCGCGGNATGTCCCTTTGCAGGGTCGGGCAGAGGAATTTGGGTGTTACCTGCATGACAAAATCGATCGGATCCGGGCCGGGTTAGCCTCCGATTGGACTAGTTCAGGCGGGCCAATGGAGGCAGGTCTTGAGTCCATTTTATGGGAAGAGTTTGATCCTGTGACCCCCGAGGACATGGACAGGATGCTGGGACGGCTGAACACCACATGTTTACTGGACCCGTGTCCCTCCTGGCTGGTACTGGCCTCCCGGGAGGTTACACGAGGCTGGCTCCAGGGAATCGTCAACGCTTCTTTGAGTGAGGGGTTCTTGCCGGCTGCCTTGAAAGAAGCTGTGGTGAGGACCCTCCTCAAGAAGCCCTCCCTGGACCCGGCTACTTTGGCCAACTACCGGCCTGTCTCCAACCTTCGCTTTCTTGCGAAGGTTGTTGAGAGTGTGGTGGCACGACAGCTCCCTCAGCACCTGGAAGAAACTGTCTATCTAGACTCGCGCCAGTCCGGCTTCCGGCCTGGGCACAGTACGGAAACGGCATTGGTCGCATTGGTTGATGATCTCTGGAGGGCTCGGGATAGGGCCTGTTCCTCTATCCTGGTCCTGTTAGACCTCTCAGCGGCTTTTGATACCATCGACCATGGTATCTTGTTGCACCGGTTAGGGGGGTTGGGGGGCACTGTTTTACGGTGGTTCTCCTCCTACCTCTCGAACCGGATGCAATTTGTGTTGGCAGGGGGGGCAGAGGTCAACCTCGAGGCACCTCACTTGTGGGGTACCACAGGGGTCGGTCCTCTCGCCTCTCCTGTTCAACATTTATATGAAGCCACTGGGTGAGATCATCCGTGGTTTCGG